CATATTTTTTTAATAACATGAAACTTTGTGAAAAAATATTTTCAAAAACATTGATACTTTTTGAAATAATGAATGGTTCATGATAAAAAAATCACCCTGTATAGAATTCTGAATAGTTCATTAAGTATTTATTATTGTTATTTTTTCAAGAACATTATTAAGTATATTTAAAAAATCCATGATKTTATAGACATTTGAAACCTGATAATATTCARTGAAGTCAACATTAGATACTGAGATTTTTTTGGTATTACTATTAGTACTTAGWATTATTAAAACTATTGGTTTGAATCTATGATGTTGAAATAAATAGACATTTGAAACCTGATTTTTTTAAGTGAAGTCACATTGTCACTGAGGTTCAATCCATTATTTAGACAACAATATACTGATAATTATTTTTTTTTTAATTATAATATTGGAAAAGTTAAGCTTAATACATACATGTGACTAAGTTTATTATTTATGTTTTAAAGGTCTGGTTTCTGGTGGTGGACGTATTGACAAGCCTATGTTGAAAGCTGGTCGTGCATACCACAAATATAAGGCTAAGCGTAATTGCTGGCCTAAGGTGCGTGGTGTTGCTATGAATCCTGTTGAGCATCCTCACGGAGGTGGTAATCATCAACATATTGGTAAAGCTTCCACAGTCAAGAGAGGAACCAGTGCAGGAAGAAAGGTATATATTTTTTTTATTATTATTTCAATTAGTTATTATATTCTCTTATCATTTTTTTTTAGGTTGGTCTCATTGCTGCCAGAAGAACTGGTAGAATTCGTGGAGGTAAAGTGGTCACTAAGAAGGGTGATGATTAATCTGTTTATTGTCGTGTTTGTATTTAATTTTACAAATAAAAAAACAAAAAAATCAATAAAGTGGTAAAATTATTTTTTTTAATTTCTTTTGGTGTTACCTTTTCTGTCAATTAACAGATATTCAAATTTTTGACCTAAACGATAAAAATTGTTTCTAAGAAGTTACAATACGATTTAAATAATATACTTTTATTGTAAATTTTCAATCAAAATGGTTTTACTATTATGGAAACATTTTAMATTTTCTGAAATGTTCCATCATATATGTTTTATATTTATTAWATTTTTAGTCCTGTCAAAACTTAAATTTTTGTAAGATAATAGTTTTTTTTTTTTAATGTGCTGAAATTTATAATTGTTAAAGCACATCCTCTATTGCATTTCATTTATCTATTTATATTAACGAATTATTTTGACATTATTGAATAGATAGTATTTAATATTAATGAGTAGGTAATTCTGTAATTCAATTTTTTTATGTTCTTAGTCAAATTTATCAAGTATATAATAATATACAGGACTAATTTCTGGTTATCCAACAWCAGTTTGATTAGACATGGATTATCATACCAATATTTTGTATTTGTTTAATTTTCATGAGTAGATTTCATGCTGACAAAATCCATGAATATCTTATAGYTAACTGTATGCTGCAAGCCTGCAAATAGTAATCCATCTATGATGGAATAATTGATATAGATAGGTGGTTATGTTCAGAGTATTTTGGTTGTTATAATTTTTGTGTTTGAATACAAATTAAAACTATGGCAACAGTATTCAACAACTTCAATGTAGGTATTTATAAGTTACATCAATAATACTAAAATCTAACCTCTATACATAATTTTACTRTGTATTGGTTGTAAAATAATATTAAGGTAAAATGGATTACATTGATTTAAAAAAATTAAGTGAAATGCTGGAACCACCATCTGCAAATTCTTCGGAYAGTGAAGATGATCTTCCAAAATCATCTTTAGTGCAACTGTGTAAGTATTATAACCTAGCTATATTATATTTTAWTTACTTTTAAAATCGGCTTTGTTGAATATACAACACGTCAACACGACACGACGTAATTATTAACATCACAAACAAAATACATTCGCCTCTGATATTCGCTGGCGCATATAGATATTGTTTACAACTTAAAAATTATATTCAACAATGAAACCTAGGTGATTATTTTTTTACCATTAATACTATCTACCTCTAGATCAATAATTTAATGATCTAATATGTTTAAAAAATTCAAGTTAATAAATTATTCAAAAACAATAAATATGATATAATATCAATCAMTTATTTTAATAATAAGGTTAAATTCTAATTTGATCAAATTGTTTTGTTGTTTCTTATTTTCCTGGTTATTTTAAAAACAATTGATTATTTTWAATTTTGACCTTCCAAAAGTACAAAATAGATCTGATTTGCTACAAGAAATTTATTTCAAAGTTAATGATGTATTTTTTCTGCTGAAATTAGTTCTTTGACAAATATAAAAATGCATTACAAATTCAACCCATTTATCTGTGTAGGTATGTACAGTCATAATCTAATGTTATATACTGATTAACCTACAGCTTTCATCTAATATTATTTGGTTTAAATATTTTACTGTTAAAAGTTTTTCGTGTACTAAAATCTTTATCCAGTAATAGTCAGAGTTATAACTTTCTTATTATAATCTGGATGTAAATACTAAAAATGATTACTRCCTATATATTATAGTATTTTCTAGTAGCCAGAATGCTAAAATCCTGCCATGGRTTTATGTTTTCGTATTTTGTAAACTGTATGATAAGTAGCAGATTTTTAACATGCTTATTTGGATTGTTTTGATCTAATATACAATATATGTSTGAAATTATAAAYGTTGAAATAACCAATAATACAGTGGTGTAGCCAGGATTTTTCCTTCGGAGGGGGCTGATAAATTTTTTCACAGCGGTGGTTTACCTAGGTTCTACCAATATTCGAACTGTACAAATGTCGAATTTTATTTTAGATTTTGGTTCCTATAACCCTTAGTCCCTTAACATATTATATCGATTTAATAAACAATTAAAGTTTTGTAACGACTTCCGTAGACCATTCAAATAATTTTTAAATTTTCTTAGCATTTCGGGGGGAGGGGCTGCATCCTCTTCCTGGCTACGCCACTGCAATCATAATATCTATATATTRTTTATCAGGCTAGGTTAAAATCTTAAAACCTCGTTAAAATTGGTTCGTTCGTTTCAAAGCCGTTCCCAAATAAATAGACATACCTACGAATCTACGATCGACAGACAATCAATTATGAAATAACATTATTCATGTTTAATAATTGTGTAGATATATTTAAAAATCACAGCRCAGGTATAAAAAACTGAATAGTTTTAATTGGGGATACGCAATTTTAATAAAATAAATACAAATAATATCGATGTTTAATTGCAAAAGCGTTAATTTTCCAAAGCTTTGCAGTAACCCTTGAACAGGTTACAGGT